GGAAATTTAACACTATGTTAAAATTCTGAAAAATTACATCTATAATATTATGGAATTTTAATATCTGAAAAATTTTCAAAAATTTTTCGAAAATTTCTGTAATATTTTGTAAAAAATTCTGAAAATTTAATACCATATTAAAATTCCGGAAATTTTTACTTATTAAAATTTCCTGATGTACCTATACCCCATTTACATCTTAGTATCCATATAACCACAATAATTAATAAGGTAAGAAAGATATATGCTGATAACGATGACACCAAGCTACTTGCCACAATGGGAAGAGGCAGAGCCTCGAGACTAGGTCTCATCTCTTCTATCTCTCCCATCAAAATCTGAGAATGCGATTCATCAAAGAGGGGGGGTTATTTTCCCATTGTACAAGATATGGCGTCACACTCTTGAGCATACTTGATGATACGTCAGAACTTATATATATATCCTCTGGTGGTATATCAGTTATAGAGCTTATATGTGTGTCCTCTAGAGGTGTATTGGACGATTTATCAGGTACTAGTTCATTATGAACCGGTACAATATGTGCTTTAGCACTAACTCCGTTATTATCGATTTTTTCACTCTCATCCATACTTTTCTGCATGCTAGATATGGCCTGAGACTTTTATTATCTTTATTAATTACAGAGACATTATTCGACTTGGATATATTTTTTTCGTTACCCCCACCAACAATGGATTCCAATACATCCTCAGATTTCAGACACTCCAGCTCACTAACTTTCAAGGCCAGTTCAACTATCTTAGATTGAGAGATTCGATTTCAGACCCTTTATTTAATGAGTCCTTCTGGGATAAAGCTAACTTATCTTTTAATGATTTCATCTCGTTCTGAAGTAATTTAATCTCTTCTGTTTTTGTAGCATTTTTAGCTATAGACTCTGCGTGAGAAATATCTTAGCAGGTTTTTTCAATCTGTAGATACTTAACCTCGTCAATGAGTTCCAGGGTATGATTGTGTAATTTCTGAATCTCAGTGTTAGCTCCTCCTAGTTTCTGACCCAACTTGTTTCTCTCTCGATCCCAACCTTCCCTTTCTCGATCAAAATCTTGCTTTTGTTTAATACATTTACCCCACAACTTACTATTATATTCACACAATTTAGAAGATGATTGGAGGATATGATGTATTTCTTTCTCAAGGTTCCGTTCTCCCATCTATGTATATTAGCAATAAATATATATATAATAAAAAATTACAGATAAATCGTGCAAGATATATACTATATATACTTCATGTACTATGTACACTACACATACTTTATGTACTATGTATACTAAGTATACTTTACGTACTATGTGTACTATATATACTAAGTGTGCTTTACATACTATGTGTACTATGTATACTAAGTGTACTTTATGTACTATGTGTGTTATACATACTACCCGTACTAGTTACCCATATTATGAATAATATATGTACTATATATACTAATTATAGATACTATACGTAGTATAAATAATTAAAAAAAATATATTATGAATATTATAGGTACTATATTTTTACAAAGCAAAAATATTAACATGGTTAAATGTATGCGATCTGATGCAGTTCCATTATCATCGGAAGATTATAAATTTATTATACAATATCGTGATGCAAAATCTAAAACTGAGGTTTTAAAGGATTAAGAAAAAAATATCCTATAATGAATGACCATTTTTATAGAATTTGGAGAGAGCAAGAAGTTGATATGATAGAATGGTATCGGCCTGTATCAGATGAGTCGAAGACTCGAAGCTCAGCTTCTTCAATAACACCCCTAAATCAGGATTTATCTATACCTGAATTGCACTTACCAAATATTGACCAAGCTAGTGTGGCTGAAAATTCTAATGGTCAAACTTCAGTGTTTGAAACGTATCAAATTAACAAAGATCATGATTCTTCAAACCTACATCTAGATTCTAATGTTACTTCTGATAAGCAGGTTAAAAATAGAAAATTGAGATCTAAATCTGTTCAAATTTCTGACTTACCTAATAGTAGAGCTAGTGTCAGTGGCAGAGCCACGAGTTTCCAACTCAAGGCACACTGGTTGAAAATTGATAAAACATACACATATCGGGTACCTGATATGTGCATGGTGTGTCCCTAATATCAGACATATATCGGGTACCCGATAAGTGTAGAAAATATTTTATATATATATCGAGTACCCGATAAGTGTAAAAAAATATTTTCTACACTTATCGGGTACTCGATATATGTCCGATATTAGGGATACACCATGCACATATCGGGTACTCGATATGTGTATGTTTTATCAATTTTCGACCAGTGGCATATGTTATCAATGGGGTTGACACGGTCAATAAACTGACAAAAAAAGTAGGAAGTGAAGATGGCATGTATGCTATAATCGAATATGAACGTAGAGAAGCAGAAGAAGCTGAACGTGAGTCTGAAAGATTTTTAAATCTCAACTAATCTATCTTCGCCTTTTCTATTTCAGTATTGACAACCTTCTCATAAAAGTCTTCAGGCTTATTTCTATGAAGTTGCAATTTTTTATTGAGTTCAATTAATTTAAACCTGGATTCAAGTACTTCATATAGCGATTTTTCTAACTCTTCATAGCTTATGTGTTTTTTTTTTAAAGTCAAATTAGCAGAATCTAAGCTAAAACTCGCAGGAACGCATCACTCGTCAAATGGTATATTGTCATCCTCATCCCTATCAGTCTCCTGTGAAATTTGATCGGATGTCAAAGACTTATCATCCCGAGTTGTAGTAGTGCAATTTACTTTGAGCTTATTCTTAACCTTGATCATAGTTACAGGGATGATATGATCTTTTCCATTAAAAGGAATTTTTAACTCATCTTTGTTTCAATCCATAATACATTTGTATTTTTTAAGGTGTGGATTTGGAAATAATAATATTGGTTTAGGAGTTCTCACAACTATATAATCCTCACGTATGGTAAAACCTGGAGGAAATGTTATTGGTAAATTATGGGTAATGTCAATAGATTCTGTTGAAACAGTGGTGGCCCTACTGAGATTATATATTTCTGACTTATCAATCTTTTTACCTACACGTTTAACAATATCTTCTGATATAATTGCAGGTTCAGCTCTACTATCAATCACCATTGCTGAAATTTTTAAGCGCTTGATTATACCTGCCACCCAAATTCAAAATCCAAATGCTGAAATCCCAAATGCCAAAATTCCAAATCTCAAATCCCAAATTATGATTAGTATTTTTTGTCGAAATCCCAAATCCCAAATCCCAAATACTAGTAATTTGGAATTTGGGCAACACGTATATTTTGAGATTAGTAATTCTTATAATTATACTTAGTTTTGTTTATTAGTTTAGTATTATTTTATCATGTTGTCTTTGTAAATTGTAGAAAGTTTATATAGATAACAACAGTTCGAAAATTTACGAAGGTGTCATATAATTCCGAAAATTTAATGAGACAAAAATTTTTAAAATATTTTGTTTTTAAAAATTTTCTGATACTTATATCGTGATTATTTTACTTTAAGATTAGTAATTTTTATAGTTATACTTAGTTTTATTATTAGTTTTAGTATTATTTTATTTTATTGTCTTTGTAAATTATAAAATGTTTATACGGATAACAACATTTAAATCTACAGTCGTAATACTTAATAATTATATTAATTTCAAAATAATTTATATTAATAGTTTTCTATAAATATATATTAATAAAATATGAAATTAAACTAATAAAATATAAATAGACCAATAAATACATAATAATAAAATAATAATATGAAAAATATAATAATAAATAAATAAAAGTTAGTCATTAGAATCAACAACATTAATTCATATTAATTTGCATTTATTTACTCTATAAGAAATATACATGTTTAAAAAATACTTAATTATATTTGTGATAATCTACTTAAAATATTATTATTTTATGATTAAAATATATTTAAAATATACTTAAA